TTTACCTCTAAACTTTTTGTTAAAAATATTCAGTTTCAAATGCATTGTACCATATTTTGATTATTGGCATTTTTTTATATCTCGTCAACAAACATCATTTTGCCTTGGGATATTGCATATTAAACTATTTTATCAATATAACATAAAAGCAGTCGCATTGGATATTTTTCAAATAATTTTAATATTCAGCAGCATTACGATGCGATAAAGCTTCCCGGCTCATATAGTAAACTCGGATTGCATTTCTAAAAAGCGTTGAGTTAAATACGGAGAAATGCATCACAAAGCTGCATTACTTATTCTATAAAATCCTCTACTTTAAGAGAATTTTATAGAACCCATTGGAAAATGTTGTTTACCACCGGGATTTTGCATTTGCGAATCCGTATTCGTGAAACATAAGAATATTCAGTAATTAATTCAGTAGAATTTAATTCATGCTTGTAATGATATAGGGGTGAAATCGCATTAAGACGATATAATCTTCCTTTCCTTGTGTTTCACATGAAGAGGCGGAGGAACGCTCAGCATTTTCGTTTTATTAAATTAAACTAACTGTAAATGGAAACATAGGCCGAAAACGAGGCCAATTGGAAGTGTCATAGGGTTAAAATCCACCCATGCGACGGACGTTTGTAATGGATGGACTCTCTTCTTGCTTAGATGAGTCTGATGCTTTTACGAACTGCGTACCGACTTACTAAAATGCTCTATTAAATTAAAAACAAATCAAAACAAAAAATAATAATATAATAAATTAATTATATATATAGGCTAGGGCGGGCACAACGGTCCAATTTGACTTTGAGCAATTATATTGTGAAAACCAAACCGGTTATATTACTACAAATACCACATATATCAAATAACTACTATTTGACTATGTTCAGTAAAACTCACAGCTAATTCATTATTGTAGTTTTCTTTTATTTTCAAAAATGGTCACTTGGTCCTTTTTACCCCATAGGCGGGGTCAAATGGTACAGCCAGGTGGCAAACGGATCCAAAGCATTAATTTAATTTCAAACAAAATAATAGCTACTATATTTAACTAATGCAAAATATAAATTTCATGGCTTCATTTTTACAAAGACTACAACACTGCATACTTCATAAAACCTTGATTTGCTTTTTGTCAAAAATATTCATCAGCAGAGTTGGAATAACTGTTTGTTTTAATTTATTTCTTGGAAATAGATGCATTTTTAGTTACAATTTTTTATTGTTTGCGCCTTTGTCAGGGTAAAGGTTTAGTTAGTCCTTTTACCCCACCCAGTGATGGAGGTTATAAACATATGTTGAATCTAACTTAAAATTCATATTACATATTACATAACATATACCTCAAAATTACATTCAGGTATTATATACTAAATACAAGAGCTCAAATCTAAAAGAAATACCATCAAAAGAACGTTTGGTTTTATATATAAATATAGTTCCATTAACCTCGATATTATGTTAGATTCGCTAAAACTCGAAAACGACTGAACCGATTTGGCAGTTTTAGTCTTGAAATATTTGTGCTAATCCAGAGATCGTGGGAAAGGTGGAAAATTATTTCAAAACCGCATAAAAACTTTACATTTTTAATTTAGTTTTTTTTTGTAGATGCGTAATTTAAAATGATTGCTAGTAGGTAGAGCGGGGCTAGTTGAGCATAGGGGCAAATTGAGCAATCGAAATATCTCGAAAACTATTCACCGTCCGTTTAAGCATTATATGGCGGAAAGACAGAGGTTTGGGAGAAATAAACATCCCGCGATCGCTAGTGGCCGCTGGACAGATGAGTGAGGCTCACGGGCGTTTTGTTTTTTTTGAGACCAAAAAGTGAAAAAGTAATTCATCGCGAGTTTTTGTCTGGTTTAGTCAAATGTTATTCATTTTTAATCAGGTAAATGTTATTCTTCCATACATTTATAGTACTTTTAATAGGCACAGAGATTCTGGGTATAACTCTCACGGTATTTCTATAAACTCACTTTTATTTTGAAATTCCGAGTTGGGGTTAGTTGAGCATAGTTGCTAAACTTGTTCTGTCACTAAGCAAAAACCATTAACATCCAGAAATTAATTATTATTTTTAAGATTTAAGCTAAGTCTTTGAGTA